GTAATCAATAAAGATATCAAGGCCAAGAAAATTGAATACTTATAAATTACAAAATTTTAGGACAATTTTCGACTTGGTACACAATTTAAAACCCCCCCCAAAACAGAAAAGGTTTAGCACTATAAGCATAAATAACCATCAACCATGACTAAATAAACATGGACGCTAAAATTATATGTTTATTGTTCCTAAAGGAGGAAATAAAAGCGAGTGTTTAACATTTCACAATTATTCCACTTATGAACTCTTTGACAATAGATCAAAGACACATAATGTGTCAACAACAGTTCCACCACAGAAATGTAACAGGGTCTGACTGTACAGTGGATCAGTGGATAGGGTAACATAACCTAGCAGCAGTCAACATTTGAATTTATGTCTTAATGTATCCTCCCATTTAAAAATTTTGAAAGTTATAATAATGTTTACGTTTCAGACAAGTAACACATCATGATGTTTTTCATAAGACCAGTAAGAAGAGAATGAATACCGTAGAGAACTCAAGTTCACGGGTATTCGGTCGTCTATGTGATACGAACGTGGTAGAAACTATGATCAAAGCGTAATTTAGATGACAAAGTGCAAAAATAGAACTAAGAAAAAGACTGAGGTAATTAATTTGAACGTTGAATACTGTGAAGGTCTGTGAACCACGGAACGAGTCCACGTAACCGTCCCAAAACAACAACAAGCGTAATTTTAGTCCAAGCAGTTAAGTTTTGAAGGTATTTCAACAGATCGTGGGATTTCAGTCTAAAATCTCCGATAACATTTCCACGATACAAGTATCACTACAAGGAAAAAGATGTAAGTAGTGCATGGGCCATTGCCTGTTCTCTCGACACAGCCTAGGCTATGGGGACCATAGGGGGCCTTTACCAGACTTCGGACATCACTCCATAATTTCGGAGCTTCCGCAGAAAAAACCTTGGCACATGGGAAAATCATTTTTTGAAGAAGTTGTAAACTGTACCTAACAACTTACCTCGCCATTTGTGATGTTGATTCCCAAATAAATGTCTCCAAAAGAACCACTACCGATTTTCCTCACTAGACGATATTTTTCACCAACCACGAACTCAGCTTTTGAATTCACACACGTAGCCATTTTAAAGTCTTTTGGCCTTTTCAATGTTCAATTTATACAACACAGACACTATTATTTATTTTTAAGAAACTAAAACCTCCACCAACGCGACGACATTTCTCTTCAGTACCGTACACTGACGCAAGACTGACGTAGGGAACAAAAGCAGCGAGAATCGCATTGCATTGTGGGTTGTACTTCACCGTGCCTTCAACTGTTCTTTGTAAATCAAAGAATGTTCTTTGACAAAGTGAACAGCTATTATTCAGAATAGATCTTGTTCAACTGGTAAGTATTAAAAATTTAAGTCAAACAAGATAGGTTCAAAACTTCAATTTATTTCTGATGCATGGGAACATTTTAATTCCATTTAGCTCTTCACATGACTTCGGTTGAAAGTCGGTACAGCCACTACTGAAAAACAAGTAAGCGGTTGAAGGCAGTCCAAATCCATATGAAATTTATTAGGGACCATGAAAGTTGTTGTCAAGTAACATATTTTTCAGTTCAATTTTAGCAAAATTATACATTGATTCCTTATGATGCTGTTGTTACACTCTTCCAACTGTTTTTTAGTGAGACATTTTTAGCACCTGGACCTACAGCCTGGACCACCTGACAGGTGTGTATGTAAATAGATACGGACCCGGCTTTTACAAAACCTTTAAAAACCACCTTGTTCAAACCACTTCAGTATTTTTACAGCTTTCGTCCATTTGAATTCTTAAAAGACGAAAGACGAACAATAATTATTAACAGTTCTCTCCCGTGTGTCCATTTCGGTAATCAGTAATCAATTTAAAACCACAACGACTTAATCAAATTTTGTTGAGTTCTCAGCCATGTTTTGCCTTCCACACTGAAACGAATAAAATTACTTGTTTGTTATTTGGTCGTTCAGTGTTTGTTTTATTTTACATCATTGCTCTGTCACCGTCTGTGATTGTTGTTTCCCAATTTTATTGAAGGCCTGTTGAACTTTGGACCTCGTGTGCCATTTTCTATTCATCTCTCTAAAGGTGCCTCACTGAAGTTAGTGCTAAACAACCTACCAAGGAGGATAAATATTGTGTTGTTTTATCACTACTTGTACGTTTTGAATTATAATTTGTTTATGGTGTATCCTAAGAGGTTTTGCTTCCAAAAAAGGTACAAGCACTGTTTTGTTTTATTTTCAGGTAAAATGGTCTTGTTTAGCCACACTAAGAAAGAGAACAACCTACTCACCTCATTTTCTTACATATTATTGATCTGCTCTGTTAATGACACATACTCATTAAATTATGAGGAACTTCATGAATTTGATCAGACCCTAAATACTACGACCTTGAAGATAACTGAAACAGAGTTTCATCAAGCAACATCACCACTGAAATCAGCCGAAAACAAATCTCTTCTGAATAAGTCTTACAGAGATAATAAAGTTGAAGGGCTTGGCCTCATCCTAAAAAAGAAAGTAGAAATGCTTCACACTGAAGACACAAAGAAGGTATCATTTTTTACGTGAAACACATAGTACAGTGACACATCTGCAATCAGATTAATGTACTGTAATACCATTATGATGCTTTTTTTTTTCAGCTTGAGATTGTATTTTTAATTGATGCATCTTCAAGTGTTGGTGACCAAAATTTCATCAGTGAACTAAAATTTATTAAAAAACTACTTGCTGACTTTTCTATTTCTGAAAATGAGACTAGAGCTGCTGTTATAACATTTTCTGATCCAGATAAAGTGGTAAGATATTCTTTTTTAATTTCTTTTTTCTTTTTTTTTTTTTTTTTGACGTTTTTAAATCTCCTCCTACTGTCTAGTTTCGCCATGTGGACCATATATCTGTCCCATCCTTCGAACTTCACAAATGCAACATGCTTCACCAAGACCTTCCTAATATTAAATACTCTGGAGGTTTGACATATACTATAGGAGCACTAATTGAAGCACAGGTAAGGGTATATGCTCGATAGTAAGAGAGAGCCTGTATATTACATTTCCCAAACCTTTAAATTCTAATGCTACATTAGTCTGTTCTTGAATGGTCACGCGCTGGAGCTAGAAAAGCCATCTTCCTGGTTACTGATGGATTCTCTAACGGTGGTGATCCTATACCAGTTGCTCAAATCCTAAAGAACAATGGAACTTTCATCTTTACTTTTGGAATTCAATCAGGCAATACTGCTGAACTTGAGAACATAGCATCCTCACCAAAAGAGGAATTCTCTTATTTAGTGGACAGTTTTGATCAATTCGAAGCAGTTGGCAGACGTGCACTTCACCAAGGTATGTCACTGATATCTGGCCCTGACATGTTTATTAATGGTGAGGATTTCTACTCTCCAATACATACTATTGCCGACATTTTACAGATCTTACTGTTGGTTCTTACCAGTCTTTGAGTGATGTTTCCCTTTGTCACTTGATCTGCCCTGATTCTGAGAAAGAGGAAAATGGATGTTGTGACTCACATGCCCGCTGCTCATGTGGAACTGGATCAGGGCATTATAGATGTTTATGCAATCCTGGCTACTATGGTTCGGGATTAAAGAACTCTTGTTGGCGTAAGTAAATAATGTATGAGAGGAATTTTCAGCCCCATAATAAAACTTAAATTTGATTTATATATTTGACTTTTTTCTAGATTGTCCAAATGGGACTTATCATGATGGCCAAAGACCAGGAGATGTATCTTCATGTATATCATGTCCAGATCCAAATCACATTACAGTGATAGGAAATGCCTCTTCAAAGTCAAGTTGTGTTTGTCAACAAGGATTTGTTGCTCAAGGGGACTTCTGTAAAGGTTTGTTCCCATGTTTGCTTTAGCTGAAAGCTGAAGGAAAGAATTGAAAAAGAGCAATTAAGCAATGATGGATACTATGGGTAGTCTTTCAAAGCCCTGACAAGGAGACTTAGGTAGGTGTAAAGTCCCGATCTTCTTGAAACTCGGTATATTTGCTTCTACCATGTAGATGACGACCGCCGGTCGAATTTTGTGCGGAAGTTCATATGCCAAAGTAAAGTACCTTATAGATGCGTATTAGAGAAATTCGTTTAAAATTGGACAAAAACTGATGGAAGGCGTTCTCAAATCGAAAAATGGAAGAGAAACTACCCTCCCTAAAGCGCACATTTTGAGTCAGAATATCACTTCATTTTTTTAACATGAACGTTTTATTTTTTGTACTTTATAGGCCCTTATAGGGAGTTTTGGAATATGAGCTTCCACACAAAAATTGACGCGCAATAGTCATCATCAGGAATAAGAGGTAAATAAACCAAGTTTGAACCTAATCGGGAATTTACACCTACCTAAGTCTCCTTGTGAGACACATTTGTCTTTACTTACACCTGATATCTTATGAAGGTTCTCTTCATTCAGAAGAAGAGGGAAATATTGGAAATTTCTTCACATATGGACCGTATATTTCAAGTTGAAATTCCGGTCTATGTGTTATCCAGCCAATCTGTTAAAGAACGAGATACCATTATAGAAACTATTGCCATATTTCTCAATCTATTTCTTCTTACAACTAATTTTTACTTACCACCCTAGATGAGGTATCTGGCACTGGCTGACATGATCGTACGTCTATTGATTTTTGTCTTCCTACAGCTGGGCGTAAATTTTTTAGTTCTTCAAATTGTAGAGACATGGTACTAAGGGGATAAAAAATAAAAAAATAGATTTTGTAATTATCTACTGTTTCTAGAGTCTATCTCATTGTTCTTACTTGTATTCCTCAAGCATCCACTTCCATTTTGTAGACCAGTTGGATGACAATAATTTCTCTTGCGAAACCCTTGCTTTCCATATTTTATCAGCTGCTACCCCAAAATGTTTTAATTCCTGCTCCATTTCAATAAATTTGTAAGTAGGAACTTATTATGTCATTTTTTTTATCTTAAACTTATTTTTGTGAGTTGATTTTTTTTTTAAAATTTCTGTTTTGCAATGTTTTTCACCTTTTTTGTTATGTTAGATGAAACTCAAGTAAACTTTGGATGTCACCTTGAGTTCCATTGTTGCCAAGAGACAATAAGGAGGAGGGGTAGTGTTTACTGGAAAGTTGTTGAAGTGTGATTGTTTCAATGTAGATTTTTGTTCTTGTCAATTTTGTGTTCCAGTTATTACATGTCCACTCCTATATCCACCTGAAAATGGATATTTTGTCAAAGGTGGAATGTGCCAAAATGTTTTTAATGCTGCTTGTGGAATGAGATGTAAACCGGGATACACACTTCATGGGTCCAGCATACGTTTGTGTCAGGAAACTGGTACTTGGTCAGGCAAAGCACCAAAATGTGTTGGTAATTAGTTGTTTTTATTTTGGCCCCAGTGTTGGCCCACTGTCTGGTCTTGTTTTTTCTCATTTGTATAATTTTTTTCTCTACACAATCTAAAAACTTTTCATTTTCTTCATAGTGAAAATGTGTCCAACCCCCGAAAAACCTCATAATGGAAGTGTAAGGTGTTCCCTGGAGCCACCAGTGTCTAATGATCTCATGGATCCAAGATTTAAAAGAAATACAACACTTGCCAGTCAATATGCAGTTGATACTGAATGCCAATTTACATGCAATCCTGGGCACATCATTATTGGATCAAGAAGACGCACTTGTCTGCCACTAGCAAGATGGGATGGCCTACGAACTGTGTGTAAACGTGTGTTATCAGTCAACTTATTAATTTTTTAATTTATTTATTTCTTTATTTTATTAACACATAAATGTCCGAGGGCTTTGCCCTGTGTGGGGACCTCAATAGTTTACAATATTGGTGACTGCTGGCAGCCCGAGGAGAACTAAAAATAAAAATCTAAGAAAGAAATGAGAAACCTAATAGAGAAATGAGAGAAAATATAATTAATTTGTGCACTTAGTAATTTTTTGTTTGCCTGGAGAAGTCACTTTCATTGGAGCGTATTTACAAAATTTTGTTTGTCATAGCTGTTACATGTCGTCCATTAACAAAGCCTGTGCATGGCAAAATTACTCCTGAATCTTGCACTGACTCTTCAAAATTGCCATTTGGGCAAAAATGTGATATAAGTTGTGACGAAGGCTACAGATTAGTTGGACCTTTGTCTCGTAAGTGTGCTGGAAAGGGAGGTCTATGGACAATGAAAGCTACTCCTAGCAAGTGCATTGGTAGGTTTGATTTACACCTTCTTGTCTTGAAATTCTTTTCATTTTTAAAACGTATCATAATGAGACAGTTCTGTGTGTTTCAGATGAGCAACCACCTGTTGTGCTTTGTCCTGCCAATATTGTAGTTTCAACAGATTTTGGAGAGGCTTTTGCCACTGTGATTGTACCTCAACCCACAGTTTATGGTTCGTAATTATGCCTTAACCCAAAATTATAGCCTTTTTTAAAGTTCAATAGATAGATAAATAAATGCACAAAAAAAAATTGAGCTGATATCTTAGATTAGAAAGATTGTATTATGATTATTCTGAAATTTTTTGAGTAGATAACTCTGGAAAGACGCCTATCACTTGGTCACAACCAACTGTATCCTCGCCAATTGCCGTACCAATTGGGCTTGTTCAAGTATCCTTTATAGCTATGGACCCTAGCCACAATCAAGCTATGTGCAATATGACAATCACAGTTCTAGGTATTTTGTGTTTGTTTTTTTAATGAGTGGTTACTGTTAACTAACAATTTCCCATTGTAATCCATTGTAATTTTTAAATATCAGATAAAGAGCCACCAGTAGTAGACAGCTGCATTTCACCAGAACCTATACATCTTTTTGAGTCAAAAGGCATCTCGACTGTGAAATGGAATGAGCCTGAGTTTCATGACAACTCAGGAAAAATTTTCAAGGTACATTTTTAGAACATTTGCCGACCTCAAATTTAGGGCACTGCCTTTACTGTTTCATCTTCATTTCATTTCTATTCAAATAATAGGTGAACACTTCCCCCATGCTCAAAGAGTTTCCGGTAGGGAAAACTGAAGTCTCAATCACAGCTTATGATGAATCTGGGAACAACAGTACCTGTGTCCTCGAAGTCATTGTGGAAGGTAACTATTACTTTAATGATTATTTTTGGCCAATGTTTTTAATTTTTAAGGCTGTGAATTTTTTCCATGTTTTTGACAGATAGCGTATGTAGTCAGAACCCCCCCAACATTCCAAATGCGTCAGTTGTCTGCACACATGAACAGGAGAAAGTCATTAATTGCTCCATGATATGCAAAGAAGGATACGTATTTGAAAATAGTTTTGAAGAGACTAATAAGGCTTTCTTATCACAAAATAGTTCTTATTCTTTTTTATGCACCGATGTGCAAATGCTTGATCTCCCTCGATGTGCAGGTAATGCCCATCAAAATTGTTTTGCTAGAGACAAAATACAAACTAAGAAAAATATTTTCATTACAGAAGCTGTATTGCCTAATAGTGTATCTCAGAAAGGAGAGGTAGTATTTATTGGTGGTGAAGGTGCATGCAATAACACTGAATTAATTACCAAGGTGAGGTATATTAAATTTAGATGAAGGATAATTTATGGCAAACACATAGAATAGTATTCAAAGTCACAGAAATTATACTTTCCTTGTTAAATATTTTCTCCATGGTGTTTCTTAGTTAAAATCTGCAGTAGAATTTGAATTTTCTAAGAAACTAGAGGAAGTTTGCTTGTCCAGCTCCAACATATTATGTAGCATTTACAACACCAATGCATCATGTGAAGAAATTGCATCTCTTAAGGAAGAGGAAACAAATATAATCCATCAAGTGAAACGAGATGTAAATTCTGACACTAGTAGGTAAGTAGATCTAATGAATCATGGGTGCATTTGCATGATAGCTTAAGACTGTAAAATCTTATCACAAACTATTTGGTTGAGGAATTGGTATGCTTTTAAAGCTAAAGTCATAATTCCCTTGATTGAAGTAAAGGGGTTGTAAGTGGATTCTCTGAATAATTATGTCTCTTTGTTATTGGTTTCCTAAAAATTACCGATATGTTTCTAGGTCTGCGCCCTTAAATTATCGCCCTTATCAAAGACTACTGAAACGGGACACAACATCGTCATCATTTCAGGCCAGTAGCATTAATGTTCAGTTTGAAGTAGTCGGTCAGCTGCGTGAGTGATTTTTTACAGCACTGTGTATGCTTTTCAGATTTAAATGTAGTTTCATTGTGAAGATTTTCAAATTTTGCAGAAAATACAATTGAAAAAAAGATGTTAAAGTCAGAGATTTTGAGTAACAATGGTTTTAATCAGTTAAAGAAGGCTCTGGGTAAAGCCTCAATTTCAGTTCCTGCAAATGTGAGGGAAAAAACTTTACAATGGAAAGGCAAAGGCCCAGTATTAGTATGCTCTGATGGCAGTGTTGTTCACAGTACTGGTATCTGTGGTGAGTTGTGTTAATTAAACTATTAGAATTATTTTCAATTTCATAATAATAGTCATTTAAAAAATTTGCAGTGAAGTGTCCAACAGGCACCTTCTTTTCAAATGCTACTCACAAATGTCTCCCTTGTCCTCTCGGCGAGTATCAAAATATTGATGGGCAGACAAAATGTCTTCAGTGTCCTAAGGGCATGTCCACAAAGTATGGGGGTTCCCAACATGTTCATGATTGCTTGTGTTAGTATGATTTTAAGTGCATTTTTTCTCCTTTGTTTTATTTATTTTTACATGACCCTTTTTGTATTGTAAATATCTAGATTTATGCCAACCAGGATCATTTGGACGTATATTAATCTCCAACCCATCACGAAATGGAGGTTCTGTTTCTCCATGTACCCTGTGCCATCCAGGAACTTACCAACCCAATTATGGAGCAACAAGCTGCTTACCCTGTCCAAGTGGACTTCATCCATTTAAAAAGGGATCCAAGAGTGTGAAGGATTGCTTTCAATTGTTTGCGAAGAGTGGGAAGGGTGTTTGGCTGCACTCCACAAATTGTGCTTCTCATATGTGTCAGAATGGTGGATCATGTAGGGCCCTGTCACTTGGATTTGTTACTTGCGACTGTCCATTCGGCTTTTATGGTAAGAGAAATGATTTTTTAAATTGCGCCCACTCCTTTAGAATCGAAATCCTTACAGTTCCTACCTTATTTCAGGTTCATTTTGTGAATCTGTTTACTATCATTGCAATTCTAGTCCTTGCTTGAATGGAGGCCAATGTGTTCAAAACTATCCTATGGGGTATACCTGCAAGTGTCCTTCTGGATATATTGGCAAAAACTGCGAGGTAAGATGAAATACACTTCACACTTTATTGATATTTTAATAATTTTTTTAAAATATAAAATATGTTTTAAATTTAAAAACAAGGAGGAAATTGATGACTGCAGTCCAAATCCATGTCTAAACAATAGTACCTGCGAGGATCTCAGTGATGGATATTTTTGTGACTGTTCAGATGGATTCCGAGGTCTTTTTATTCTCTTTAATATTAATGTATATCCAAAATACAGCCACATGACTGGTTAGATTTAACTCTTTATTCTTATATTACAGGAGCAAACTGTGAAGAGAATATTGATGACTGTGTTAGTAAGCCGTGTGGTGATAATGGTCTCTGTGTTGATGGCATCTCTAGTTATACTTGTACTTGTGTTGATGGATATTCTGGTCAAAATTGTGAGACGGAACCTGTTGACACATGCCTGGAAAATAACCCTTGCATGAATGGGGCTACATGTCTTACTACTCCTAATGGCATGCACAAGTGAGAGGACTGAATTTAATAGTTAATTTTCAATATTTAAAGTTTTTTTTCTCTTTACTTTTCTCCCCTGTCTATTATTACAGATGCATTTGTCCATTTGGATTTGAAGGAAATAACTGTGGTATAATAGATAGCTGTTCCTCATCACCGTGCCTAAATAATGGCATTTGCGTAAAAAAAGGAGTAGGAGGACACATCTGCAACTGTAAAACATATTTCACCGGAGATGATTGTGAAACAAGTATTTAAAGAGACTTTTATCAAACTTTTACTTTCTTCAGTTGCTGAGGATAAGTTCATTCTTTCAATTTATTAATTTTTGCCTAAAATATTTCCTTTATTAGGTCTCCTTTCAGAGTTTGTTATGCATATGCATTCCCCAAGTGTAACAGATTACGCTATGGTTGATTTGCCATCACAGAATTTTGACAAGGAATGTGTTTTCTTCGAATATTTACCAAAGCAATAACACGAATTTTTGAATAATTTTTCTCTTATTGTATATAGATTACTGCATGTATGTGGCTGCAATCCAAAGATGGCTTCAATTATGGTACAGCATTCTCTTATGCCACCAAGCACCAATTTAACATGTTTACATTAACTGATTACAATGGGTATATTTTGACAGTAAACCTACAACTATGCATTATTGGATCTAAACATTCAACTTAACAATATTAATGATCTTTTCCACAGTTTCGTTTTATATGTGAATGGAAATAAAATTGTTACCGATGTTTCTACAAATGATGGGTTGTGGCATCATGTGTGTGTCACATGGCAAAGTAATCTTGGTCTATGGAGTATCTACCTTGATGGTTTTCTCAGCGACTCTGGTGCAATGTTGTCACCTAACAGTAAAGTGAATGGTAACATTTGTTTCATTTCTTATTTATTTATTCATTTATAATTTTCAATATGCATTTTTTGTGTTATTTGTGTCCGCATTTGTTTAATGGATAAATTACTTGTTATGCTGATTTAAATATTTGCAGGTGGTGGAAAGTTTGTTGTAGGGCAGGAGCAAGATAGTCTTGGCAGCAGTTTCAGTGAAGCTGAGTCACTCATTGGCAGGATATACAGACTGGATTTGTGGGATGAAATTTTAAGTGCAGCAAAAATCCACCAAATTGCCAAAGAATGTCATCAAAGTTTAGAGGGGTCTCTAATAAAGTGGACAGACTTCCTGCCTAATATTCATGGTAATGTTAAGGTCTGTATTTGATATTTAAAGTTTTTCAGTCTATTCAAGTTTAGTTTCCATGCTTGATGTATGTAGCGTTTTAATATATTTCTTAAAATTAAGATCGAAAACTCAACATTTTGCTTGGAGTGTCCGCATCCTGAAACTTTGTGGCACGGAACTGTGGCAGTAACCAATGATGGTAATGGATCTATTGCAACTTATGAATGTGAAAGTGGCTTTGTTATTCACAAAACAAGTCTGAGAGCTACTAAGAGGCACTGTTTGAAACAAGGTTATTGGGAGGGTAGTTCCCCAGTGTGCGTGCGTGAGTTAATTTAAAGCTGTTATTACAAACCTTGTACTTAAGTGTTAAGAAACACGCTTTTTTATTAATCTTTTTATTATTAGGACGCAGCTGTGGTTTTCCGGGTAATTTACCGGGTGGGGTGGTTGTGGGTAACTCGTTCCTTTTCACGGATATTGTCACCTATGCCTGTCATTTTGGTGCCCAAATTATTGGGGACTCTACTCAAACTTGCCAAGCGGATGGAAATTGGAGTGGGGTGCCACCTATTTGCAAAGGTAATAACTATGAAATTGACTAATTTCAGATTTTAACACTAAAATACTGTTTTTCTAGGTCTTGAGTGCCCATCATTAATTCCTCCCAAATATGGAAAAATCACTGTGGACAGGAAAGTTGGAGGTATTCGGACTGCTCAGTTTTCATGTGAAAGTGGGTTCTATATTGATGGAGTTGAAGTTCTTACTTGCATGTATGATGGCACATGGGATGAAACAGTTCCTGATTGCCTTCCTAACATCTGTCCTTTGCCCCCAAGGTAGACACTCAGCTTTGGATGTTATCTAAACTATTAGACATTCAATTAGCTCCTTTCACTTTTTCTTTCTTTTAGAATCCAGCATGCCATTCTAAAGCACAATTTTCTTGAGAAATTCTCTTTTATGGACATAGTTTACTATGAATGTGAGAAGGGATACATGTTAACTGCTTCCAGTTCTTCTGCCATATACTGTAACAAAGATGGAGAATGGTGCCCATTTTTTAATACTACAACGCAAAACACAAGTGTGAATTTGCCAAGCTGTGAGGTTCAAAGCTGTGGGAAGCTTGATGATATTCCTAATGGTAGATGGCTTCTTAAAAATGGAACTGCCATTAATTCTCATAATTATTCTGGTGACTCTGTTTTGGTTATGGAATGTGAAACAAATTATGAGATGTATGGACCAAAGACCAAGTATTGTAAAGACAATGTATGGTTGCCCTTGGATATAACACAGTGTGTTAAAGTTAGTTGTGATACAGAGGGCCTTCCTTTCGATGTACCCCACTCTGTCCTTCATATTTCTGGGGAAGAAGTTGGAGACTCAGCAACTCTTAGCTGTAAAGATGGTTATCAACTCAGTAGAGCAAGCACAGGAGAGAGATTGATTGAGGAATTATCAGCTGAGATTGTCCCTAATAACTCAGTTACATGGATGTGCAATTCTGAGAGTTCTTGGACCATAAATACAACTTCTATGGATTTTTCAAGCTCTGAAACACTGTTGTTGGCATGTCTACCTAAAAGAAAAGCGAGTAGCATCCTGTGCAGTAGACCCAAGGTAACAGTTTTAGTTTATCAAGAAATTATAATTTTATGTTGGTCTCACTATTGACTTAACTTCATCTTCCAGGCTCCTTCCTTTGGATATTTATCAACAAATGATGCAGAGACAGACAGAGTCGCTGGTACAATCATAGCAATTCAGTGCAGAACTGGATTTTGGTTAGATGGTTCAAGATCAATTGTTTGTGGAGAAAATGGACTCTGGCATGGCTCAGCTGTTTGTAAACGTAAGTATTGAGTAAATCAGAATCTAAATACTGTTTAAGAAACCTCTCAAACATTTCCATTTAACAGCTGTAAAATGTCGTTCACTACCCCCACATCATAATATGTTCATCATGAGTACTACTGCAGTTGGACAAGAGATGGAATTCGGTAACCTGGTGTCATTTTCATGTATTCCTGGATTTAAAGCACATGGTGACCTTAGTGTTAGATGCCAGTCAACTGGCCTCTGGTCGCCATTAAGAGGTAAATGCATAATGGAGTGATAATCTACCACTACAAGTCCTTTGATATTGACAGTGGAACCAAATATAACAGCAGCAACTGAATTTTCCTGTTTATTAAATAATAAAACGGTAAACCATTGGCTTATAAAACAGACTTGTAGCAAAATGACATAACATACTCTTTAATATTAATGCTAAACAATTTTACACAGACTTACAGCCCAGCCAGGTACACCTCTTAATTCAATGAAATTCCTAGCTAATATCGTTCTTGATAATAATGCATGTATGTTAATGTTCATGTAAAGAAACACCACGCAGATTTAATTTGTTTTTCATTGGTAAGACAATTCTTAATCAGGGTAATGTTTCCAAGATGTATGTTACGTTTGCTTTGCCTCCATTTGTCCTTAGTACTTCAGTGACTTTTCCAGTTTAGTGCTAAGGCACAATAACTTTGGCTAGACTGTAAGAACCACTGTCATGGTATTATATACAAAATTTTACAGACTTAACAGGATAGTTTCTTCAGTACACACCTACACTAACATCAGTAGAGGATGACATACCAGCAGTCATTTAAGGCAGCAAGTTGTGTCAACCATAGAGCATGTGAATACAATTGAATTATTACACACAACAGAAAGAAATTAATCATAGAATTAAAAAACAAACCTTATTAATTTATTAAGATATGTGACGAAACAGATTGAATAGGGAAAGACTGCAGTGTGGCACCAGTGAAGGAAATTACATTAAACACTGGGATATTATGAAGAAAACAATGATGAAATTCATACAAAGTTGACAGATTTGCCGCTTTCATCTGATTTGTCACATAATTTGTCAGTTAAACACAGCCCAATAAATCTGCTTCACTGTAGGAAAACTAAGGGAAAATGACTAAGATAGTTTCAAGTATTGAAGAACTGAGAAATTCGGTAAAATATAAATGGCAAACAAATTTTGTGGTTATTGATCAGTCGTCCATATTCTGTGAAAGTAAAAAATTTGCAGCCAAATTTTCGTTTTTCTCACAGGCGAAGTATGCTTGAATTACAAGGTGTTCTGGGAACCCTAAGGCCTTTAACTGCAAACAGATAAAAAGATAAATTTTTAAATGGAGTTAAATGGGAAATATATAAAATGATGGGTGCTTGATATGAAACCAAAACTTACCCTCTCAATTGCTTCCCTGTCCTGAGCAGAAATTTGAATGACACCGGGTGCATCTTCAAATGCATTGCCCCCTCTTCCCCCACCACCCCTGCCAGCAGCTGGTACTGCAGGCTCATTAGCACTACCAGATCCATCTGAGGGCGCCGCAGGTGCGCTCCCTGCAGGTTCATTGAGCATATTCACAAAAGCCTCTTGATTTTGGGAGATAAGCTGGAGGAGTGCAGGGTTTGTCTGACCAATCTGTTGCAGCACTGTGTTTAGAAGCTGAGGGTTTGACTGGATAATCTGGCGCATTTGTTGGAACTGTGGCTGTGACCGCAGGAATGCCAAAGGTTCATCTGCTGGGCAGAATTCAAATGAAAATGCCATTATGTGGGATAGGAATTTTTTTCCTGTCACATCCTTCAGTAAAAAAAAATTCAAGAGAAAGAATTTGCCTAGTATTGGTTACCAGTAAGATTGTCCATTTATTAAAAAAGATCCCGCCAAAATATTTTAATTTGCCAAGATATATATATTTTAATGTCACATTACTGCTCCGGAAGCTATCTTTTTGTTTACTTTTTAAAGTGATTTGGTAACTCAATCTAGCTGTCATTTCCATTGACACCACCACCACCACCATAATGGAAAATGCTAACACCTCTGCCTCCTACAGACCCACTCCACATGCATAAAATAATTCATTTGACTCAGTGTAAAGTACTTAGAGAAAATAAAAAATGGAGGGTACACGTACTACCTGCTGGAGAGGAAGGTGGTGCTGGGTCTGGATCAGCATCATCTTGACCTGCATCCTGAGGAACAGCATCCAAAGCTTGGGCCGGAATACCATTTATGAGATATTCAACTGCTCTATCAGGGTTGTTGAAAGATGCTCGCAGAGCTTGCTCTACCTATCACAGCAATAATTGATTTTGTGTAAAGCAATTTAAAAAAGTACAGCTTAAAGCCATTAGAATAACAATTGTCTTACCTGATCTCTATCATATCCCATATCTACTATATTTTGCACCATTTGATTGTAAGCATCACCAACAAGCAGGGCAGATTCAGCCGATGTTATTGTGGCTGTAGGAGCTGAAGTGCTACCTGTGGTCGAAGATGATCCACCTGTTGAAGGTGTATTAGTTTGAGCACTAGTGGGAGAAGCAGATGATGACTGTCCTCCACTGTCTTTGCTGCAAAGGACGAAAAACAGGTAAGTTAATACAATATTTCCTTCTATTAAACCACCATTATGTATGCCAAGGAGGAACAAAGTCCCAGATTTAATGTAAAATAAAACTGTACCTGTCTTTGCTATCCTTGTTGTCACTATCTCCAGCAGCAGTTGCAGTAGGGTCACTGGGGCCTGCAGATGCTTGAGATGCAGCCTTAGGTTTAGTGACCATTACCACTATGAATTTTTTTTCATCAATATTGTACTCCTTTAGCTGACTTTCATCAGAGAGAATTTTCCCTAGAAAGTAACAGTAGGCAATGTAGAACGAAGATATATAATGGCACTAACAACAATGATCATAAATTGACTTACCGGCATAAATGAGTCTCTGATTTTCAGCAGCATAGTCTTTGCCCTTCGACAGCTCAATCTGATCTTTAAGGTTCTTCACCTGAAAAGAGAACGGCATTAACTGGTTGGAGAGAATTGGTGCACCCAAACAAATTCAGTTGTGCTGACATGAATGGAAAAATTTAATACCAGACCAAACATGCATAAATAGGCAGATTGAGTACTTGTAAGAAAAAATTTCAAATGAAAGATAAGCTTTACGGAATAAAATAAGCAGATAATATGTAAAGAGAAAAATTCAAAAAAATTGAATAACATAATTAGAAAAAAAATGATAAGATAGGTAATTTCCAAATAATGTGTTCTTGAATACAGCATTACTTTCAATGACAAACTTCTGTCATTATCTCTGTGCTGACTTTTTCACATCAATAACATGCAATATGTGAATGACTAAGCCATTCTGCAGTATGGACCAAATCAATGATACATCACTAGAGCGCCACGAACCACTTGAAAAATAACACGCTACAAAAAGTTCAAAAGTTTGATCATAGTTTGCACAATAGATGACATTTCCGCAAACGCCGGGACGCATAGATTAAACTTATGCTTTGGGCAAAGTAGTGGTTATGGTCGGCCATTGTTTGGAGCCCGCCAGAACAGCATACCGCCAAAACCCAAGATTGTTGCACCAAACGTAATGCTAGAGTATTTTAGACGAAGTAAACAAAAAGCCGGCAATTCGAATTAACGACTACTGTGGTTAGTTTGTCTTAAGAATAGGCTTAGCATCCAGTGAAGCTCTGGCTTACCGTCTGAGTCGGATCTATTTCGACGGTAAATGTCTGTTGTTGGAGATTCTTCAAGGTAATAATCATGGTGGCTGCACTATACTAAAGAGTCAGACGAAATATGTACACCGATTGACAATAATAGCCGAATATAGAGGGAACTGGATGATATTGCATTCAACTCGTCGCCATGTAATGACATCACAGATCACGTGACCACTAAAACGCAATATGGCGACTGAAAGTAGATTATTATTCATATTTGGATTTGATATTGAATAAGGAAAGGTCCAGTCCCTCCCTAAGGCTAGGTCCAAGTTTGTTTTTAGACTTACACTTTTTCATATTAATGAACCATAATAATAATAATAATTTATTTTAAAAAATCAATAATGCGGAATACATTGCATAAAAGCAACAATAATTTGATGGTGAGAATTTCTCTATTAATAACAAAGAAATAAGGCAAGATGATATAAGACAATAAAAAATTTATTTACTATTCATCTCTACATAATACGTCAAGTGTTACTTTGGAATTGATTAAGACACTTGCTGAACAATTTTGGAACATAGTTTGGTCATCATAAATACGTGAAACACAAGTAAATCTCTTCAGTCAACAAGTGGGATAGGAGAGATGATAACTTCAATACTACCTAATGCAAACAAGGGTAGGTATGGAACATTAATTGATGAGATAGATAAATCAAACAGTTCATTCATCACAGATTGGCTTCATGTTTTACACAAGGGTGACACAAATAAATAAGTACAGTACACATTGTTCCAGAACGGACCAAAGTACAGAAAATTTAAGGAGTGACAGTTTTCATTTGAGTTTGAATTTCTTTCTTGGCAGTTTTACTGGTCTTAAATATGGATTGTCAATAACATCAGCTTCTTTCTGATCTTCTTCACCTTCTTTATTTTCTGTTGTTTCCTTTTCTTTCTTTGCTTTCTTTGGTGCCTGATGCACTTGTTCTTCCTCAAAATCAAATATTTGGTCTTTGGGAAGAAGGGCATCAAGGTAAGGAGGAAATTTAGGTTTAACAGTTACCACTGGAAAGAAAATTGTAAAAGATTAAAAGAGGCAAAATGTCAAACCAGGGTGTGAACAGATTAGGGTCAGATTATGAAACTTCCATCATTCCTGTTATGTGCATTGAAAGTGAGATACTTACGAGGGAACATTGTGTCGGGACCTTGAAACAAACTGCAAACTTCATTTGTTTTAGTAATAAATTTGCACAGAGCACGTTCTAAATCTCTTTTGTGCTGTGCTGACTTCTCACGGATAGCCTCGTATTCCGTGACAGGTTGTTTATGAGTCTATAAACAGACGACAAGAGAAAAAGGCAGCAATAAGTCAGGTGATGTTAACCACAGCAGATAGATAGAAAACAATAGACTTACTGGAGTTCTAATGTAGGCATGTGGATCAGGGAATTCTGGCATGTAATTAGGAATAAATGCTGGGAATCTTTGCTTTTCTCCAGCCTGGAGAATGTTTGTTGGTTTAGGAGCAGCAGATGGCAGAGGTTGAGGTACAGTGGTGCGAGCTGGGCGACGACCATAAGCTTGAAGCCCATCCAAGTTGTACCCCATATTGACTAGAGCTACAATGACGTCACCAATGACAGGTTCAGTCCGACCAGCTAGCTCACAGTATGATTTGCTACTGTTGCCCACCTCTGTAAGAACTAAGAAAGGAAAATGAAAATTATTAATGAAACATAGTGCTATTTAACCTCACTTAAAAATCTCTATCCAAATAGAGAAAGGTTAGAGGCATAGAATCAACCAATATTAGTTTACTGCTGTACTTACAACTTTGAATCATCTCCACTAACGTTTCAACAGCCATTTTTTCGGCATGATCAAATCCCAGCTCCGTCAGTAAGCTTGAGACAGCAAGAGTCAGCACTCTTCTTCGCACTGAAGTTGGGTGACTTTCAGAGACTACAGACATGTTGACACTGAGCTTGAAAAACTACTCAACTGAATTGCATAGATTGTGAACTTAACATTGCTCGCGACGTAAGACGGTTTTTCTTAACACTGCAATTGCCGCAATGGATGGCCGCGTTGTTGTTTACTATTTTACCAGCCCAAGCCAGAGCATAACTAAGTTAGTGAAGATCAACGTTGTTCTTGGCAGTACTATAGTTCAGCTTTCCTTCGTCAAGGTATGGAAAACAAAATATTTTCTCTCATCTATGTTGAAAAGCTTCTGCTAAAATGGAAAAACTTGTATTCAAAATTAAAATAAAAAAATAATTCAGAGTGAAACCATAATAAAGCGATCGGCATTTCTGGCTTTGGATTGATTTTGCGATTTTGCTTATTTGTGTTGGCTACCTCGCTCTCTCTGTGTGGCGACAACGAACATATCGATTTTTCTCAGGTTGTTTTTGTTTTCATTTTATGCACCACTTTGTGCTAATGTTCCGTCAGATTATGGCATGGTAATTTTATTTTGGATTTATTGAACAGGAGTAAAACGACTTAGATTTGATTAATTTTTATTTTAAAATCATATATTTACATATTTGACTCTAGTGACATAAAATTGCAAGATACATTTCTATTCCTGGTAAGTTGTAATTGTGAGATATTGATGTGTTGAGGTTATAGTTTTTTTTTTAGAAAAACTGCAAATTTCTATCCTTTTTATTATTTCTTTTTCATTTCAATCAAAACTGTGTGTTCTAAATGATTTCTTTTAATATGCTTGTCAAGAATGTTATTCTTGCGAATTTCCTCATCTGTTTCTTATTCCATTTTGTAGGAGCAATGGCTATTGGTTCGGCATTCTTAACAATATGTTTAAATCATGCTGAAATTTTAAAAAATTCTGAGGGTTAATTGAGCCGACTTGGACATTGAGAACCAATGAAATGCCAGCAGAAAATGACACTGTCAATGAGATTAGTGAGACTAAGGTATGTTTTCATTATAAATCCATAATGCTGCTCCAGTCTTGAACATTACTTTTAATTTAGACCAACTGTGCCATTTCACCCAGGTTTGCAGAGACTTCCTGCGCAATGTTTGTCGAAGAGGAAAGAAGCGATGCCGCTATCTTCACCCTGATGATCTTGATTTGAATGGAATGGGTGTTACAATTAATGGAGGTCGGACAACATTTCTGTTTTGCCATGACTATCAGAATGGTCTTGGGTGTAAACGTGAAGATTGCAAATTTGTGCACTGCACTGTTGAGGAAGAACAATACTTTAAATCTAGAGGCAAGCTTCCAGAACACGTCATTGATATGGCACTAAGGTGAGATGCAGAATTTATATCAGTTGCGTTCAAAATTCTGTTTACTGTTAATCCCTTTCACATTCTTTTGTTACTTAATTTGTTGATTTTATATTATTTCCATATTTGATTTACAGCCGGGGCGCACTTGAACCAGCAGCAAGACTAGGAGAGCCACCAGCCTGCAAAGATTTTCTGAAAGGAGAATGTCGACGAGGGGCACAGTGCAAATTTCGACATTTGACTAAGCGTGAATTTGAAAGAGAGCTAGGATATTGTCAATCTCCTCCCCATCAGTCACTAAGTGATCTTCAGCCTCAGCTTCCACTCCAGATTCAACCTCAACTGCAACCTCAAGTTCAACAGCAACCACCTCCACAACAGCCACCACTTCAGCCCCAACCCCCACCACAACTTCAACATCAGCAACCACCCCCCATGGCAATGGTCAGTATATGTGTATGTCATTCCTTGTAGCAATGGCTGCTCAATCTCCCAAATTTAATCTACTTTTATATTCCCTCATTCAGGTACAGTTTAGCCATGCCAGCCAACTACCTGATGGAGGCCCTGAACAGAAGCAATTCCACTATGCTCCAACAATGCCCACCCAGCAAGCCCCTGCCACAAATATTCCTCCTCCTAACCACCGACACCACCCATACTCCCGTCCTCCCAACGCTCAGCCTCCTGCGTCTGCTGCTGAACCACAACCACAGCCTCAGGTTCCACCTGGTATGGTTGTCCTGCACACACATACCCATGCTGTGGCTCAAGCTGCTCCACAGCCATCTCCACCCTATGGCTTACACCCAGCCGTACCTGCTGCACCTCAGCATCGAATTTTCACACCAGCTGATGCTAGGTCTCTTATGCTGGAAGAAGAAAATGTTGTTTTGAGGAGAAGATTGGAAGAATTAAAGAAACAGGCAAGTAATTCTATTGCACTATGCATACCTGTATAATGCTAAGTAAGTAACATCATATTTCCATCCCTTCTCAGGTATCAGACTTGACTGTCACAAACGAGTTTCTTCTTGATCAAAATGCCCAATTGCGCCTTGGCTCCAAGAGAACCACTACAAGTATTGCTGCACTCACTGTACCTGCTGTTACCATAACAAATGCTGGACAACCTCTTCCTGCTCAAATCACGTCAGCACAAACACCAGCCCCACAGCAAATGATGGTTGCTACCGGAACACTAAGAACTGTTGCTGCAAGTGTGGCTACAGTACCTGTATCAATTGCGACCGTTGCTGGCACCCCAGTTTCTATTGCAACTGTTTCTATGGCACCTGTCACAATGCAACCTCCTGTGGTGACTATGGCCCAGCAAACTATCGGTGTTTCCGGCCCTCAGACGATTGGGGTGTCTGGTCCTCCACCTCAAACACTCACTGCTACTGCTCCTCCCCCTCAAGGAGCACAGCCTCAAAATGCCACAGCAGCTTGCCCTCAGAGCTTGCCTTTGGCCATAACAGCAGGAACCACCCCATTAGTCACATACCCAATACCTGTCTTACAGACCAGCTTGTCTCACTGACAAAGCGATTCACCACAACATCTTATTTGATAAGTCATATTTTTGTATCTTATGTACCTGGTACAGAAATTAGAATTTGAGTTGGCATAAGTGAATTCTGTTTTGTTCTTTATTTATTTTTTGGCTTCTATTTTGAGAAGTATTTAAATTTAAACTAAACATTTGAGTGGAAAGTTTTGCTATCTATGACTGTTTATGTAAGTACTACATCATAAAATAGAAATTTGTGATCAATCTAATTTCCACTTGTATGTGAATGTGTTCTTAACATCTCAACAAATTTGATGACGTGGTTGACTTTTTTTTCCTTTCTTTTTTCTTTTGATCTCTTGTAGTTATTCTATGTACAGTAATTTTACAAAGCTTTAATAATATTATTAGATTAAAGCTTTCAGAGACTTTTTGAATTTTATGGAACATTTTTCTGTTATCATGATAAACTGAATGTGGTGCCTAGACAGGTAGTTTTCAGATATCATGAGAACATTTGACAGCTATGGTTGTGCTATAGCGTTTGTTTTGTCATGAACTCCATGGTTTTGTATCAATTAGTTTCTGAAAATTGATCCAAGTGATTCCGATAATTTGCTGCAGCTTTTCTGGAAATCTAATTCTGCGTATTAGTTTTCTGTCATTTGCTTTTTTTGAAATTTTGTTAAAGATATCTGCAGTGTTTTTGTTGCCCTCCTTTGAACCTGCTTGGTTTGTTGAATAAATTTTACTGATCAGAGGAGAAATTTTCAATTTGTAGGAGATGTGGAAAGTAATGTGCTTGCTGGTTATTAAACTACCGTGGGCAGTGGATTTTTAAATTCACATCAAACCTTGAAGTGGGAGTTGAATGATAGCTTGTTCTTGTTCATGGTTATTTTAGGGAAAAGTAGCTTTTACAATTCAAATATGTGGGTATATGTTTGAGAATTGGTGCGTTTGTTGTGGTAAGAGCTAGGTTGGTGGCTAAACCTAGGACTTACCAGCAGTGAAAGTGGCTGTACCTAGAATAACCAAATTTTCTTGGACAATTCTAAGTTGAACAAGCTAATCCTGGGTTTAGCAGGCCTTTTAGTTTTAACAATGACACAAACATTAGGAATAAGAAAAAAAAAATTGCTCTGTAAAAGTACGTATATTTTCTGCTAAAAATTTAAAAATACAGAAATGTAAAATACTGTAAAAAGATCAAATAACTTAAAGAATACTTCTATGAAAAACAATGCAAGTTTCAGTTTTATTGAAGCACACTGGAATGACAAAGAGTTTATAAATGCCTTATACTGCTATCATTCTGTAGCAGACTATTGCAATTCCTGACTACATCAATAGCTTTATTTGTCAGGTCTCCACTTTACTAGGTGGAAGTTGATCGATATTGCCAGTACAGTAATGGTGAGAAAACAACAAGAGCTAAAACAGCAATATAAAGACGAATTCTCCAATGTTCCCAAGATTCATTGAGGATGCCAACAATACGTTGAGCTTGCTTACGGGTTTCCTCCAACTCGTTTGTATTGTCAATTACATAGTGAGCTTTCTCGCATTTCTCTTCTAAAGGCATTTGGGCAGCAATACGCTGTTGAGCAAGGGTTTTGGCCATAGTGTTTCGTTTCATTAATCTTTCAAGTTGTTGTTCAGGAGTACTGAAAAGTTAAATTAATACTAGTAAAATTGGATGGTTTTAATTCAAAAGAATTGCATAAAATTTGAGTACATACCAGGTAACACAAATGACTTTGTGGATATATTGAAGCATAACACCACTCTCAAAGAGTAACGGCAGGTCCAAGACAATATAATTGTTGCCTGATTATTGAAAAATTGAAAAATATGCATTCAAAAGAGAACATAATAAGATAACACTGTAATAAGATTAACAAGATACTATAAACAACAAAATTACCTGTCAGGAAATGTTTGAGAGCTTCAAACATAATAGTACGATGAATTTCAGGGTGAGTCCATTCATTAAGCATTCTACGTTTTGTAGCATCCGCAAATATAATTTCTCCAAGCTTTTCTCTGTTCAGATATCCTGTAGGAAGCAAAACCTCTTCTCCGAATACTTCTTTGATTTTCTTCCAGGCATTGGTGCCTGGTTCAACAACTGTAAAATGATTGAATTAGCAAGGACATTTAGTATGCTGAACTCTCAAAGTAAGTGCACAGCAATAATAATAATAATTATTATTATTACTTATTATTTTGAAATATTCAAAACAATGTATGGAAAGAACCTAGTGTACCTTCCCGAGCAATTGCATCTGCATCTACAACCGGAATTCCATTCTCTCGGAAGACTGCTGCTACTGTTGATTTTCCACTGGCAATACCACCAGTCAAACCGACGATAAACATTTTTCATTAACTAATTAACTTCTCAGTTTCAAAAAAGTTTCCACAAAAGCTAGCCTTATGTACCGACACTTGACCTACTGCAGACCTAACCGTTTACAATTAAAATTAACAATAAACAAGCAGAACCTTAGCAGTTAGCAGACGGTCGTAAAATATCGAAAGTCTCTCGAGGTGTCATGTCCTCGCAAGACGTCTAGCCAACACGACATCCCAAAAATGCGCTACCTTTTGGGGCCTTTTGAATGATCTAGCTCTCTGCAAGTGGTCTTACTTGTTCAATTAAACAGATGCATTTCTAAAATCAATTACTAAGGGACGATTGATCAGCTTACAATGATAAGTTTTTCGATAGATGTTATGAAAAGGGTTGGCTAAAAAGGGGCGGAGGGGTAAGGAAAGGGGAGGGGAGGAAATTCCCTAAGCCTTCTGAAAAGAAAATTGGTAACTTCGCTCTGACGTTACATTTCCATGTATGTTCTCTGGCTACAATCTTTCTTATCCTAATTGTATTTAGGTTTGTGTTATTGAAATGTTTTTGAACTGCGCTATGTACATTTGTTACGCGTATGATGTATGACGAAGATGCTCCTTGTTGTTGCAGCCTATTCTCCAACCTGATCAGCTGTTTCCGTGAGACGTGTAATTGGTTAAAGCTCCGGAGGTGCACCTTCTGCTGAGCTTCCTCCTCTTACTTTTTCTTCTAGCCTAAGAAGAATTTTCGTGAAGACTTTTGTCAACATGTAGCAATATGATGTGTTGAGTGGTCCCTTGCAGTAATGGTGGTGGTGAATGATGGCTGGGGGAAGAATTTGGCTGTACCCATGACAGAAACCTTTGCCTGTCTTACCTCAAATAACAAAATGACAAGTCGAGGAGTTCTCACTTGCCGTTTCAACTCCCACCCCTTCCAGGAGCGCAGCCTAATTCTTGACCAACCTGTGAAGATTGGGCGCTCAGTGGCAAGAGCAAAACCTGCTGCAAACAATGCTATTTTTGATTGTAAAGTTTTGTCTCGCAACCACGCCCTACTGTGGTATGATGCCGGTAAATTTTACCTTCAGGATACAAAGAGTAGCAATGGCACTTTTGTCAATAACCATAGACTTAGCAAAGGAGGTGAAGAGTCTACACCAAGGGAAGTTTGTTCGGGAGATATTGTACAGTTTGGTGTTGATGTCATGGAAAATGCAGGCAAGGTAACACATGGTTGTATTATTGCAACCCTTCGGTTGTATTTGCCAGATGGAAAGGAAGCCAAAGCAAGTCCTTCTACGGTTCATTCTCAAGAAACTGTTGGTTTGGAAGAACTCTATGCTCTAAACAGTTATCTTCAAGAAGCACTCCAGAGAGAGAACCAACTAGAGAAAAAACTTCACTCCTTGCAGCGACTGTTGGATGATCTGAGGAAGAGTTGTGATCTGGGCTGGAAAGCTTTAATTGATGAAGACCGTCTCCTTTCTCGAGTTGAAATACTTGAGTGTCAATTGCAGACTTATGCTAAGAATGCCACCGAAGACATACTAAGGGAGGAACTGCGTAAGCTTCAAGAAGATAAAATAAACTACCAAGGAACTGCAAAGCAAGGACTTCAGAAAGTACTTGAAGAAAAACTTGAGGCAGTACAAAAATTGCAAGATCTTGAGAACTCTAAAGCAAGTGTGGAAATGCAATGCAATGGGCTGAAACAGCTCCTCGCTCGTAGCCAACAAGACCTCAAGGAACTTGCACAGAAGTACAGTCAGCAGTCTGTTAAGCTTAATAGTACAGAAGAACAGCATCAAGAAGTTCTACAAGCTTTAGAGGAAGAGAAAAAACAGCTCCAGTCCCAGCTGGAAGAGCAAATCAAAGCAGAGAGAGCCCTTCAGACTAAATTGGAGGGACTTCAGGCAGATGGAGACCTCACACAGCAGCAATTGGAGGCTGTCCAGGCACATTTGGCAGGATTGGAATCAGGAGTGACTATGGACCTAATTATTCAACGCATCAGTGACACACTGAAGGTCGAGCTCAAGGAAAGGCTGGACAACGCTGAACTTATCAGTGAAGAGGACCAAATTTCAAAAAAAGATCTTGATAATGCTGGTAATAACACTAATTCCATTCACAGACTGAAGGCCACTATTGCCATGCAAAATGAAATGTTGGCTTCAATGAGAGAAAAAGAAAGAGAATATGAAAAGCAAAACGAGCAGTTAGATGCTGAGCTGCGCAAAGTACAAGCAGTTATGGAACGTTTAAAAGATAATGCAGATGATACTCACCCACAGGTTAGTTTATTGTACCCATTTAAATTATCTTCTTTGCTATCAGACTAGTTTCCAATGTTACAATATTCCTACAGAGACCTTAAAGTAATTGAATTTTCTAATTTTTTTCCTGAATATGTGTTTTCTAGGTAAACAACAGAGAATCTGACGATACAGAGGTGATGAAAAAGTTGCAATGGGAGGCACAACAAAATGAAAAACAGCTTCGCAATGGTGTGGATTGTGTTGTTCAACTAGAGGCACAATTATCAAAGCTCCAACAAGATGAAAAGTATGTTAGGAATGGTTCTGAAAATGTTGCCCAGCTAGAAGGACAACTAGCAAAGCTGCAACAAGATCAAAAGCTAAATCAACCTCTTCTTGAAGAACGTAATGAGCAGTGTAAAAGATTGACAAGTAAAGTGGAGGAGCTAGAAGAGGAATTAGTTGTTCTTCGTGAACGCTTTTCACAGTGTAATTTGGAGCGCACCCGCATTTTTCAGGATCTCCGCACTTTACAAGCTAGTTCTGGTCAAATAACCTCTGCTAAGTTGATGATGCCAGGTCTAGTTCTAATGCTCGCTATTTTTTTATTCATGTGGCTTCAATTCTGACTCAGTAGATGCCTTCAAATTATTTTTCAGATCTTTTTCCTTTGTCATGCTCAACCCTTAGTTGCCATATTGAAAAGTAAGGAAATGTAAATATTCTAAGTTATTGGGAGTGTCCACGTATGTTCAATAAATGCTGTTTGTTACTGTGATTGTTCATTAATTCATTAACCATACCGTAATTGCTTTTGTAGGGTAGATAAATACCAAAAATTATATTCTATTCTGTAAATTTGCATGAGTGGTGGTGTTTTGTTGCTTTAAGTGGTGTGGATTATCCTATAACAAAGCATACAACACATGTTTTGGAGGGTCACTTAAAATGTATTTGTATGCATCTGAGTTTGTTGATTACGTTTCTTCTCCTTTTAAAGACTCTTTTTATTTATCTATTGTAAGTATTTTTAATAGGATCAATATTTCCCCACTTTTCACTTTTGTTTCCCCCTAGGCCCACTGTGATATTTGTTTTGAGTACAATCACATCCTGTAAATTTGAGGAGAGCCAAGGCTAAATTTAAAATGTCTATGATTTAGGGACCTGACATTTAAAGTCTATCAGCAGTGAAAAATGATTTTACACCATTGCTTTTTCTATCCTCTTCCCTTATTTGTTGTTATTTATCATTATTATTAAATGTTGTCATTTCTATTGTTATCAAGTTCTGTTGGTGTCTGTGTGTAGTGTTGAAATATCTGTCATGAGTCTGAAAAGACTTTTGGTATACTCTAGGTTTTAGTTACCATGTGTAGCCTCATCTAGTCTTTGTAAGATTTTCCTTTAAAGATTTGTAAATGGAATAAAAAAGACTTCATGCAGATTACACTTTCAGTGTGAGTCTGTATTCGATTTTGTAGATTGTCAAGCTCTTAATAAAACTTTGTGTTTCTTTATTATGTTTCTATCAAGCAATCACTCTCCAACTCCAGAACAGCTTTTACCTTACTTAAAATGTAGATTTAAAAATTCCAAATGACGGCACTTTGATTTAATATCACATTTAATTTGTTATCCTACAAAGTCAGAAAATACAAATAATCCTCATTACTTAACCAAGAACATTCAATTTGCGCCATGGATTATCTTTTCCATCATTTCCTGCAGTCACAGGAGAGAAGATTTTCTGCTGTGTAAACCTTAATGACTCTTTATTAAATTCTAGTGGTACTCTTCCAACTTCTCCGCAAAATCGATTCTTCAATATCTGGAACAATTTCAACGAATTGTTGTATTAATAAAATTATTAACAGGTCAGGACAGTTCATTTGTGCCGAAGCACCCCCCAAAAAAACAGCCCTTAAAGGTTTAACTGACAAGTCAGAGTGCAATTATCACCGCTATAGCAACAGAAATTGAAGGATGTGATTATGTACCTTCAAAAACAAACCACCCTTGCTTTCCCTATAGTCTTGTAGCATGAGGACATTGTCAGCTTCTTGCGTAGCTTTTGCACCTCCGAATACAGAGTTAAGGCCAAGATGCTCGCCAGGCCGTTCTTTCCGAGGATGAATGACTAGTGTTACATGGCAGTTGTGAAGAGTTGCAAAGCTACGAAAGGCAGCAATAATATTGTCTTGTCTCCAAAATCGATCCACACCACTGGAATCCTCACTTACACCCATCATAAACTGAACAGTGTCTATTATGACATGTCCAATGTCATAAACATATTGAGCATGCTCCAAAACCTGATAAAAGTGAATCAGGACAAATCAGTTCACCAGTTTAACATATCCATAGCCAAATTATTGAAACAAATTTGATGAGAAAATCCTTCTTGTTACCTGCATAACTTTTTCAAGAGAATGCTGGCCATGTAATTTCATAAAATACATGGGTAATTTCTCTAACTTGTCAGCAAACTCATCAAAACGACCCATGTGGTCATGAAGTGGTAATCCAGCCAATTGAGTAAGCAGAGTGCGAGCTAATCTATGATTTGGTATTTCAAAACTACCCCACAAAGTATTTACCTGTAATATAATTTAACAAATTAATTTGTTTACAATCATAACATTTCTTAACATGCTCCCTTGCTTCCTCTTCTGATAAATAGTGCTGCTTGGTCATAAAGTCCACACCTACCCCTTGCTCAGCCAGATCAAGGGAGTACTGGCTCATCAAAGTAGTCTTTCCACTTCCAGTAGATCCCGAAAGGACAGTCAGTTCACCTCTCCTGAAACCTTTCAATAAGTTATTTAGCTGGGGAAAGCATCTCCATTTGATTCCTTCAACCTGTAATATCAGATGTGTAGTTAACATAAATAGAGAGACAGAAACGATGTACCTGCTAACTGACAGCAACTTACCTTTCCAATGTTTGAAAGCTCAGACATAACTTCTGCTCGTAAACTTTTGAAAGAAGTGACATCTTCGACATGCAATGGTCTTGCATCAGATAATATTGAGACCAAATTCTCAGAATTTTCAAACGCATTCATTGCACTGGGAATATTGGCATTGGGCCTAGGATTGAAGTAAGCATAAAAGAAGTCTACATTACACAAAGGAAACTCAAACCAAACACACTGCTGACAAAATGATTTGTTTTTCTCTACTTAATACAGTACAGAACTGATAGGAAACGAGAATTGGTGGAACAGAAACTTACTTAACGGCATAACACCGTTTAGGGTTGAGCTTTGCTGAAAAACAACGGATGGCATCCCATATGCCCACACAATTTCGAAACCAAAAAGTAATTTTGGAATAATTTTCAAGCATTGGCAATATCTCAATGGGCAACATACTAATGCCTGTGACAATACAAACAAAACTTCTTAAAGTTCCTACATTGACAACAAATCTTCAAAATAAGACAAAAAATTAGGATTATCATAACCATGTGGTAGACAAATAATATGACTATTAGTTCCAGACGTTGCCAATGCTAGAGCATCTACAATAGATATGACCAATACTGCAGAACTGATGGCTTTGGCATGTTTATTTGATTGTTTATTTAAATTCAGTCTTTCTGGGTAAAATGTGATGAGACCAGAATGTTCAGCACCCAGCAATGTAGTTTCTTCTCCTGAATCTCTACAGAGCACTCGGTAACCTGTGGGAGGAAACCATGTCATAAAAGTATTTTTCATTTAACTTAATAACAGATAGGATGAGCTTTGTGTACGCTTACCAGCAATAACATTATCGATAGACCGAAAAGGGAAAAACATTGAGGCTGTTGTGGAGTCCACTAGAGCTCCAATCTGCTTGAGAACAGCACAACTTCCATTCTAAATAAAAAATTAAATACCAGTCATTTTTTTTTTAGGAAAAGAAAATTTACATGTTTATTAAGCCTAGGAGAAAAAGAAGGAATAACGTTCTCTTAACTTACAGGCAGACTAAACTGTTGAACTAGTTTGTTAATCTCATCATCTGATTTGGAATCAAGAGCGCAGAGACTTTCTTTGAGCGTAAGCTCTTTGGGATATGGCTTAATACCATTCAGAGGTGATTTAAGATCCAATAACTCATCTTTCTTCATTCCTTTCTTGGCCATAACGTAAAACTTCCGTAATGATGTCCACTCACCATAATTCTTACATTTGACACAGGTAAAGAATCCTGAAATCATCATTGTTGTTGGTAAAAATTATGCTTAAATTTATTACAATAAATGCCGACAATGCCGTCATTCACAAATAGATACGAGCAAAGATTAATATTTTATTATGATTCCAGCATAAGGAGATGTTAGAAATTATGCTTAAATTTATTACAATAAATGCCGACAATGCCGTCATTCACAAATAGATACGAGCAAAGATTAATATTTTATTATGATTCCAGCATAAGGAGATGTTAGAAATAACATTTTAAAAATACCTGTTGTTTTGTTTATGTAGAGATTACCCGGCGATTTTAAGGAGCAGAGTTTACATTCTGATTGAACACAAGTATATCCGTCCACATATAACAAATCCATCTCGGTAAGCACCTTTTTGAAATCATTAGTGCTGGGATTTTCGGGTACTGAGCAAACAACTTTGCTGAAGTGACGAACTCCACTTTTACCACGAGCTATAGCGCGCAAAAACCGCCGCGGCACTTCCATTGTCCAGATAATGCTTCAATTTGAAGCTAAAGCAAGCTAAACCAGGCTTAATTGAAATGTTTTTTCATAGTACAGGTGAAAGTGAACAAGTGTTCATTTCAAGTCGAAAACTACTTTGTCAATTTTAACATCTTCATTTGCAGACAGTATTTTTAAGTGATTGTGAACAAAAGCACGCGCGCCCTCCCGCACTTCTTTTAGACTGTAACATTCTCATATTTGAGAATTACCAAGAGAACAAAATGTTCTCATATCACACCTTCTAGCTTTCTGCTACTGCTGTTTTTCGGAGATCGTTAGAAGTGAAAGAAATCACGAAAAGGAGGAAAGAGCGAAACACCCATAGGTTTTTTAGAGGTAAAGAAAATCGTGTTGTGTTTGAATTTACTGTCCATCCACCTTTCTTCGAATTTCATCTATTTTTTGATGTGAGGACCTGAAAACCGATAATTAATCATTATGTAATATTAGGTGTTAACGTGTATTTACCCCGTAAATCATCGAATAATCCACTTCATATTTCGTTCTGCGCCTACTACTGCTGTAGGACTAATCAAAACTTCAGTTGCAAGTGTCATTGAAGTGTTTTGTGTGTCTAACACTTCTTGGAAACTTAAGCTTGTCATAGTCTAAGGTTATGTTCTACTACCCTTGCCCTTTTTAATCATTTAACTCTCCATGCTTGTCTTACAGGACCATCTATGTCCGGGATTCCTTTCGGCTGGGCCCTACAACGTTACTGGCCTTCAGTTGTATTCCCAGCTATCACAGTTTGGGCCATTTACGCCGACTGGTCTCACACTAGAGAGTGGAAAAATTCCCTTAAACTAAAAAGTTAGCAATTTTTTGCTTTCCATGTTACTAAAATGGCACATTTTTATCACTTCCCAAGTTTAATGTTTAATTCTGTTGCAGATGTCGATGACATGGCCAAAGTATCTGGGTAGCTACATCACGCTACAGAATGCATTTCGGATGACCCTCGCAGCCCTCATTCCTGCTGTTGCAAAAATGTATGAAGACTCTGAAGTAGCAAGGCTCACCAGGTTTCGGGACCGGTCTGCCATGTTTGGCAGACCACCTCCACCTCCTGGTGTTGAAGAAATTCCATCATGGTAACACTTATGTTACATGGCTAGTTTGAATAAACTTCTCAGTTGCAACTGCATTTGTTTTTTATTTTTGAGTTCAATTTCTAAAAGGAAATTTGCATGTTCTGTTCCAAATCTTTGTATAGAGAAGGCTTGCATACCAATCCAATAACATTTTATTTTGATCAATCCAAACCAATAATGTACAAGTATAGTATGCAGTACAATGAAATCATTTCTCAAGAATACCATCATTTTGAATAATTTACTTCCATTTGTACTGCTTTGTTTCAAAGTAAAAAAATGTAGCATGCATATCGAGAAAACAAATTTACTGGACAAATCCTCATGTACAACTGTCTACAAAAGACGTACCAAAATGAGAAATCCCAGAAATGTCAATTTCACCATATTTCCATCCACGTCAAATCAAGCTGGGAAGCTATGACTATAGAAACGACTGCTATTTGTCTACTATCACGTTTTAGTTGTCAAAATGTACATGACTGGGAGCAAACACAAGAACATTTGGTAGTCAACACAAAATGTTCTCAAGTTGTAAAAAATAATGTGTTCAGGGGTAATTAGGGTGTAGCTGAAAATATACAGCCGTCTTTGAAAATTGTGATTTACCAAGAAATAAAATCACACCTCAAGTCCTTACTAAAAAGCTACAGGCAACTGAATAATAGGCTTAAATGTACACAGTAAAACATACAGACCAACAGGTTTTACTGTAGTTTTGGTCCAGAGCAGAACATAGAAAGAAAGGATCCTCCAAACACATTATTGATCAATAAACAAGCAGTGAAGTGCCATTCAAGAAGTCTCCTTTACTTCCCATGTTCTTTATTAAAATAAAAAGATGAATGTGTAGGCATTGAATTTGACCCACTACATTAATTGATTTATCTCTTCATTACTTAGAATACAAATATGCACATTTAATGTACAAGTGAGTGATTTAAAGGGAGATGATTCTGTGAGTGTCAGAATAAAGGTCAAGGCAACCTTGGCCTTGATGCTGACAAGCACCATACATACACACACGCACATTCTCACACATGCATACACATACAACACTAATGTTGAGCAGATAGTTTCCTTTCTTTCAACTCAAGCTAGGCACAAGATGGAATATCAGCTGAAGTCAGTGTCGTTGGTTAATGACACGAAAGAGCTTCTGCTTCAGTACAAAAGGTTTTATTTGTATTTTGCTCACAATGATTTAACTTCTTTAATGACTTAATCAAGGTCGTAATAATAAGACTCATCGGTACACATTTCATATTTCAATAGAGCAAATAAAATAGTCCCAACTACAAAGTAACATTAAAGCTACACCTTTTCACAAAAGCAAGTGTTTATGACTTGCATGGCAGTCAGGTCTTGGTTGCTCAACAATTAGAAGTCAATGACAGTCTAAATGCCACAATCAACATTTCATGTGAAAAACAAAAGTGAAGATCACTTCACTTTCACCACATGCAATTATTAAGATAAACCAAACTGAGTTCATTGAAATTAAAATAATAATCCTAAGGTATTTATTGAATGTGAACTGCATCAAACCAAGCACTTACTCCACTGACAGAAAAAATTATAGTTTGGTTTACTTTATTCAATAATTTTGATGCTTGAACAGAAGCATGTACAAGACCCAAAAAGTATCAGTTAAAATGAGAGGGCAGGCGCAACAAAAAGTTACAAGGGAAAGGATACCAAGTTTCCTTCCATTATTCCACACCAACACCAGGCAACCTTGGGACACGGACAATAGTGAATCCCTTTGTGCCATCAGGTCCTTTAGGCTGTCGTAAAACTGTAAGCTTTGGACCAGTATCATCTACTGATGTTGTTCGCAAGCGGCTAATCAGGCGCTCTGGTCTTTGAGTATTTTCACTGTTACAAAAGAAAAGGCAGAAAACAATCAAAATTTGACATGACACACTTGATTAAAAATATTATTGCAGCTTGGCTATATTTTAACACCTACCACACTTTGGTGACATTGCAAGCGGATGATTTGCCTGTGCGATGATTTGTGACAAGGACAAAGTCTACTGTGTCTCCGGCCTGCAAGGTAGCATTTTCCTTAACCTCTGACATGTGGAAGAAAAGTTTTTTGCCTTCTTCAACTTCATATGCTAGGAAACCAAATAGCCCTAAAAAATGGAAAGTTACAATAGGAACAGAATGAGTAAGTTGTAATGGAATATAAAGAAACAATGTAAAAAAAGACCCCTTTTACAATGACATACCTTTAACAGAATCTACAGTGGCCCGTCGCTTCTTTCTAATAGCAGCAACATTGGCTGCCCGACCTTGGCTGTCCACTTGGAAATTAACAGGGTCACCAACTTGTAGCAACTCTCTCTTGTTTGTGAGGCTTGTTATACCAAATTCATATTCTGCACCCTTCTCTCCTTCTGTAAGTTAATATTGACATACATAAAAAAAATACATGAAGGTTCAGAAGAAATTGAATCACAATTGAGGTTTTTAATGTATGCATTACCTGTTTCTGTACTAGCTTCAATAAGACCAGCATATTGATCCTGCTCTGGGTTAACTGACCGCAGGGGCCTGACTACCTTCCCATCCAAAACATCAGGGAGCACTGTTGGAGCTTTCAGAGTGCCTTTCGGTAAGACTTTGACATTCTCGGCAGACATGCAAGTACCTGATGTGCCTCTAATGTTCAATGTGAATTCAACTTCAAAACCAAGTTCAAGTTTATTGGCATCTCCATCAAGGTTACTGGAAAACAAAGGATAGATTAAATAATAAATCAATCAATTACATTTACTGTTAATAACACTACACAGGCAATATTCACCTAAAATGGAAGAACACTTCCATATCGTGAGCCAAGTTTTCAATAAAACCATAGCCATCTTTCAATGCAGCAATATACCCCTGGTGTAGTTGCCCATCACCTCGATCGCCGCTTGCCGCCCTCTGGCTGACACGAACGTTAATTGCTACCAATTCTTTATTACGCTTAACTTGAGCGATATCAAACTCCACCTTGGAATCAAAATTGGTTGAAGTATGAGCCTACATTTCAGTTCCAGTTAGCAGTTGGATGAAAGATTAGGATAATTACCTGATCTCCTACTTTCGGTAGACATTTGTGATCGCAGTCTTTTAAAGAATAGGAGATTGTCTTTTTTCCATCATTCACAGTGTATGTTATAGTTCCTGGATCAGTCTTATCATTAGACTGTCAAAGAAGGAGAAATTTGTGCTTAAACCGATTTTGACTGAAACTAATCAAGACCAAAAGTAAAATAAATACCTGGTTCTTAGATGGACTGCGTTGGTTCCAATAACCTGGTAAAACATCCTTTGTTACACTGCCACTGACATTCTGCTCCATCACATTTTCAAACTTGACAGTATGAGGAGACAAGTGCTTAATGCGAATTGCTCGCTGACGCATGTGGGAAAATGAGGAGGCTTGGTCCTGTGAAGAATTCAGAGACAAGTGACAAATGTTTTCCAAGAGCTGACAAGAACAATCAGGAAAATAAGAAATACCTGGATCATAGTGAACTCCACTTCATCACCAACAGACACATCTTTATCTACATTGAGTACCTCACTGAAATGGAAGAATAGTTTTGGTTCTCTTTCGACGCATCTCAAAAAACCATAGCCATCCTTCACTGCAGTCACAACCCCTTGCTCACGCCGTTCACCAGATACATTAAAGGATTCGTCGAGGAGGGAGATATCTGTTGCTCTTTTCAAACCGTCACGTCTATCAATGGCAAGCCGGAAACTAACCCAGTCACCATGTTTAAGCGTGAAGTCACCCTTCTGATCTTTGTCACCAAAAGCTACTTCAGACTCTGAATGATCTGCAGCACGGTATTTGATTCTACCAGGTAAAGGATCATTCTGATGCCTTACATTTTGACCTCTTTCTAAAGGCTTCAAAACTTGCCCCTTCATAATTTCATCATTAACATCCTCAAATATAATAGAGCCACGAGGGAGGACAGTTATATTGCAAGCAACTTCTTTGCCCTGATAGAAAAACATACTTAAATTAGATCACGGCTATCACAAAAAAAAGAGTAATTAGGAAAGTAAGAAAAAATTACAGAAAATGTTACATTAAATTTTAACATCTTACATTTCTTGTTTGAATTGTAAATTCAACATCATCCCCAAGCCTAATTTCTTCTTTGTTCTTAGATTCTGAGAAATGAAAGAATATTTCTTTCACTACATCAGCTCTTTCAATAAAACCAAAACTCTCCTTCATGGAACACACAACGCCCTGATATCTAACTGGGTGTGCAGGATTCTCCAAACGCACGTGTGAAGCTCCAAGGTTACCCCTGCCAAAATAGAACACAGTTAGTTGGGATTGAGTTGTTGGGCACCATTAAAGGTTGTAAAAGAACAGCTTTACACCATTATACCTTGGATTTGCTGCAATTTGAAAGCTGACTTTATCACCTGAACGTAGAGTTACATTTCCTTCAACATCATCTTTGTTGTAGGGCAGGAAAAAGCACTCCCCTCTATTTTCATAGCTGATTCGACCCTGAGTCTCTCCACCTTGTCCATCAGACCTTATTTCTGTAGTGACATTACCAGTAACGCGCTCTTCGCTCAAAACCTGCAAAATACCCAAGATGTGTGAATAGGTTGGATCTGGAGTGTAAACAAGCTAGAGATAATTTCATTATAGCACAAACCACTTCTGGTGCAATCTTGGTGATGAAACTAGCAATAGGTTTGCCAGTGCGTCGGTCATAGGTCATTTCAAATTCCACAGGATCACCAATTTTCAAATGTTCAATGTTTCCACTAAACTGGCTAAAGTGGAAGAAAAGGCGAGCTTGCCTTTCACAGCATTGAATGAAGCCATATGAATGCTGTAATGAAAAAGACAAAATAAAAAGAAAAAAGAAAGCATTTAAAAAGTCAAATAAGACTCTGTAATACTAAATAAAATTAAAGCAGTAGATGCGATAAGCTCACCAAAAGTTTTTCAATAATTCCAGTTTCCCTGGTAGCACTTTGATAAGCCCCATCCGAGTTATTCTGTTGTTGCTGCTGTTGCGACTGCTGTGGTTCTCGCTGGTCTCGCTCTCGTTCTCGTTCTCGCTCTCGCGGCTGTGATTGGTTAAAGCTGTTGGAGTTGCTGCTGCTGTTTGTGTTGTTGTCACCATTGAAGGATCCGTCATTTCCTTCCCTTCCTGTGAAAGTGCCAATGGGAAAGCTACTACCTCCACTTGAACCATAATTTTGTGGATAGTGGTTGTAGTGGCCATGATTACTGCTTCCATTTGCACCATTGTTATAAGGTGATCCATTCGGAGATGATATTGACAGGGTCTTAAAGTCCAGAATTGCCGTGTCAGAGTCCATGGTTGACGGCTGGAAAGACTTCCACTGAGGATCGCTGGACATTGCGTGTTACAATAACTTGGGCTTAAAAGTAGCTTTATCACAGAACAGTTCTTTGTATACAAGACGTGACTGCTCAAAGTGCCGCACTTCGTGCGTAAAAGTACAACATACACAAAAACAACAAATCAGCACTGAAGTGCTTTATCAGTCCAACACAAGTCTAATTAATTTGACATAGTTTCTTTTACGATGCAAAAAAAATTAACGCTACTGGCTTTAAAATTCATTTGTATTGTAAAAGAAAAGATGGAAAAAATCCTCAGATGTCCTCAATGCGTGCTGGGTGCGGATTGTGTTTGGCCTTTTAATACTTGATCGTTGCTTCAAGTTTCCTAGTCTAACAGTTACACAAGCTGAAACAAACAAAAACAAACACTCATTAATACAAAACTTTAATTTTCTTTCATGTCTCAACCACAGGGTGGATCAACTGGAGTTATGAAAAATAGATCTGCACATGAGATGGGTGTTTGAATAACCAAAATTTAAGGATAGTCTAGCCAGGAATTCAAAACATTCACACTGTTCCATAAAAATTTACAGGTGAATATAATTTAAGAAAAATATTGTGAAACAAGAGTAATTGAATAAAATTAAATTTCACAACATCATTAGAAAATCATTAGGGAAGGAAATCACATCAAGTTTCCAGCTGTAAACGGTTACCAAAGTTTAGCATCAAATATGAATTAATAATTCCATTAAGAGGGTGCATGGGACAAATTTTTGTTTCATAAATCATGTTTGATTGGTATGTCAAAATTAACCTAACAGGATTCAGTCGGCGGCGCAGTTTGTGATGAAGTCCATTATTTAAGTAAACATTGAACGAAATTAAAACTCACAAAATAGGACATATTTTGTCATTTTAGAAATTCTCGATAATAAAAGATATTTTTATCAGACCATTAAAATTTTAAGATGAATTACCGGACCGTTTACCGACCGGAGGCCTCTCACACTCGAGCTCTTTCGCTACAGGACGTCGAGTTATGACATAGACCAATCGTTTACAAGCTAGTTTTGAATGCCGATGCGGCCTAAATTAAATTCTAGCCTGACTCAAGCCAAGTATCACAGTTCCAGACTCGTGAGGTTCCTGTTAAAAGATAGACAGCCGCAAGAGCCGCAAGCTCGAAAGTGTGTAGACTTGGGAGGTTTAGAACTGGTGAAACAAAGGAGGCCACGCAAAAGAAGTCACTTTAATGTGCTATGGTTCATTTAAACAAATTTGGCTTCTGGCCAGCCCGCTCTTTACTGACAATTCAGACTTCTACTACGAACAGTTATTAGTGATCATCTGTAATTTACCAATTCAGCTGAAGAAAAAAAAAAGAGTGGCGCTTAGCCTAGACTGGTTCAGGAATCACTTTAGGCCTATGCACCCACAAAAGGATTCGAATGATGTTCAGCCCATCGCGTTCAGCAGGGTCCATAGTATCTCTACTAAACGCTTCAAGGACGTCGAAATGCGAACACGGGGAGAAACACTTACAAAATGGCCAGAATTAGTGAGCAATTGAAATGTCTGACTCACCACGACACAGCACAGCACTGACGACATGCCGCCATTTTGAATGTCAACAGACATCAGCGGCGGAACAGCGGCGAGCGGCGGCAGCACGACTCCTGCAAGGCGCAAAGGTAGGCAACACAGCGAGCAGTACAGCCAACTTCAGTTAGTTCCGCCAAGTGCATTCTCAGTTGTTGCCATCTATTGCAAGGCGGTGAACGCGGCGGCTTTGGTTTTGGTTTTGGTGCGATCGTCGTCAGTGCGTTCCGTTTTTGAAAAGTGTTGTTTCTGATCTCGGTTCTTCCTTGCTACTACCGTCTAAGTGAAAACGGATCGACAATGAGTAACAAAGCTCACCCCCCAGAATTGAAAAAGTGAGTAGTGTGTCTTATATATTTTGTTGTTAATCCTCGCACACCGGTACCTCATTGCGTTCCGCTGGTTTAATCTTTGTTTACTTCGACCTTTTAGATTTATTTAATGCCCTAAACATTGTTTTACTTATGTCTTGTGCTCTGTGTCCGCCCCAAGTAACGCTACTAAGCCCACTACTGTACCCTCTCTATTCCTGGTCCATTATGCATTTGGAGGTTAACAACACCTCTATCGGCCCTGCACAAAGTTTTCGTGTAGTCCAGCCATACCAACAACTGCCAACATCTTGTGATCATTTCCATTGAAAATTTTGTTTTTATCTTTTTCAGATATATGGACAAGAAATTATCATGTATGTATAAGTTGGAGCATCAACGTGTTAAAATATCAAGTCAAATTAAACTTCTTACAGATTTACTATACAAGGTGGATTCACAACAGAAACGCTCTCAGTATATAATTAAAAAAAAATAATTGTGATGCTACCGTCAAGAAAGCACAAGAGAGCTCTTTTACCCCTTAGTCTGGCTTGGCGTATTTGATTGTGAATCCATCCTCATGTTTCTGCTTTTTAATCTATTTATGTTTCCTTAATATTTTAGTGAAGCTGAATGGTGGGAGGCATGTCATTGGGTTCCTGAGAGGCTTCGACCCATTCATGAACTTCGTTGTTGATGAAACTGTTGAGGTCTGCAAGGATGGAACTAAAAAGGATATTGGCATGGTGGTATGTTTCATGTATTTATATTTCTAGTTCTTAGCATGTTTTGCACTTACTCTTAAACTACTATTGACACAATTTTGTTTGTTCCAGGTGATCAGAGGAAATAGTATCATCATGTTAGAATCACTGGATAGAATATAGGTTCATCAATTTATAACTACAATGTAAATACAATATCGCTATCTGCATTTTCTGATCCGTAAAATGTGTACAATTCCATCTGTTGTGATTGATTTTGTGATCTCATTGTTCTCATTCAAATTTAATACCACAGATTTACTCAGAAAACTTTTCTTTAGTGGAATGATACAAAAGCATTTTTCTTATTTACTTAATCATATCAACTCATGCTTGCTACCTTGTGTACAATTTTTCAATAAATAATTTTGTGTAAGATGTACTTATTTTTGTTTTCTTAAGTTGTTGGTGGTAGCTAGGCTAAACTGAAACTACCATGTTGAAACAATATCCTCAACACTTGTTAAGTGGGAAATTTACATGTCCTTTATTACTGATACATTAGTTGTACATGGTGTACATTGTATGTTACATACTGTGGAGCTGGAATCTACAAAATTGGAAGTCATTGTTTCTCTTCAAAATTCCTCAAACTATTTTTTTTTCTCTCCAGCTCATCCTATTCTGAAACAGAAAGAAATCACAATGATTTTCCTATCGAGAAACTGTAATCATATTTACAGGCATACATTTAAAGCGAAACTCACATTTCTCTGCAGAGAGAGGATACACGAAGGTAGTGGCGTTATCCCGCCCCGTTTCGCTTTGAGCGACGCAGGTAAAGACACCCATGTCGCTCCAGCGGACCTTGAGGATCATCAGGGACCCGTTAGGGAGGATCTGTAAGCATACCTTAGGTTAGTGCCAGTGGTCAATTTATTCCATCACATCGAGGTGAACCCATAGGATTCGACACCGCGCCTCTTTCTAATCCACCGTACTGAAAAATTCCACGTTATATTTAAAACTACAAAAATACAACTGTGACCAAATGTTTGTCACTTCGTGTGTGTGTGTGTTTTTTTTTGTCCATGTAACATTTTTTTTTGCAGTGTCTTGAAAGTGGCGTGGGGCTTCAGCTTTAACTATGATGTGACCATGACCAACCACTAGGTCTTTATCGCCCGTCTGTTCCACGTGCCTTGTAACGGTTGCGGCGAGCGCCCGGCCCGCTTGGCGCGATGAGCTGGTTGTTGTTGTCCTTCCAGAAGACGGCGGGCCTAGGGCTGCCCTCAGCGCTGCAGGGCAGGGTGATGTCCGTCCCCGACACGTCCATGACGAACGAGGCGAAGTTTGTGATGCGGGGGGGCGTGGCGATCCCAGAGTGCTGGCAGGCCGACAGCAGAGCCGACAGGTTGCGCACGCCGTCCGCTGCAACGCGACTTACAATCAATCCTCGGCAATCTATACCAGCAGGTGGCTGACTCACCCCGCTGTAGCGGGCGGGTTGCCTACCCGCTCGGCCCGTAAGGCCCTTGTGGTCAGGGGCGATAGGCAAGCCCGCCCGCCTGCGTGTGGTACTGCAGTATTATAGAAAGGTGCAAATGGCCACTTTAGGGGACCACAAATCAAAACGGAATTTACAATTTGCACCCAGATTGCATGATTGGGTCGGATTGCACATATTCAATTCGTGATTATCCAAAATCGAGCACGCTAATGAGCATGTAAGGGCACACTGCGTTTCGAATAATCATTTCATCCTCGTAGAGATCCAGGCTACTAGCGTGAGCTGGACTTGTTTTTTGTTACACGCCCCTTGTAGCACATATCGTTCTTAGAACGTTTACGGGACCTTCAGGGAACCAAAAGAGCGTTCTCAGAACGTTGTCTGAATGTTTGGTGCTACAAGGGCCGCGATGCGCGATGGGGTAGACATGAAAGTGGAGCCATTTTCAGTCGCCAAAGACCACAGCTGCCACCCTTGGGCCAGACCCCCTCCGTCAAAGGGCGGCGAGGCACTGAGAATGTTTTTGCTAAACTTTTACTAGAATTCTGCGATATTTAAGTTGGAGGAAATCATTGACGTTCTCGGAACATCTGCGCGCTGTTTGTCGGGCCGCCACCGACTCCCCCGCTGCCCAGACACAGTCAAGGTTTTGCTCCATGGGTGGCCTCGGGGTGGGGACGAGGGTGGCTGCCGGCTGCCCGGCCCGGGGACAGGCAACCCGAACAAGAAGCCCCAGCAACGAGAGAGTGAATCAAAGCAGCCGGTTGTGAAAGCGAAGGGGTCCAGTCTGAGGAGGGGCTGCCCTCCACGCGGAATGTTTTTTTTTCTCCCTTTCGGAATTCGTAGACGTTGGCTATCATGGCATATGCATATTATCTCTAACTTTCCCGGCTAGGCATATACCTCCTAATAGGACCGTAAAAAGTCGCACATTTTGTAACGCGGCGCAGTAGTTTTCATGCGCGTGAGACATGTCGAACTCACCCTCGACGTAGACGGTGGCGGGCGGCGACACGTCGGCGTCGGTGCCGGACACGGCCGCGCACGAGTACAGGCCCCGGTGCACGGGCAGGGCGCAGTCGATGACGAGTCGCGAGGTGACCTTGGCGATGCCCGACTCGAGCGGCACCACGTTGGACGTGACCTTGGTCAGGCCCGAGCCCAGGCCGTTGAGCGCCTCGGCCGACAGCAGGTTGTTGAGGGACTTGGCCTCGTCCATGCCCTGGCCGATGGGCTGGCCGTCCCGGAGCCACTGTATGGTGGGCGGCGGGCCACCGAAGGCCTCGCACTCCAACTCGAGGCGCTCGCCCATGCGCACCTCCTGCGCCGGCGGGCTGACAGCCGTCACCTGCAGCGAGCGGTGCGCGAGCCCGCCGCGGCCTACACACACCAAACATCAACGCACCCTCGTCTGCAATTCTGGTTCTTCAAAATATGTTTGAAACAATTATCACCACCTCCCCGAAACAAACGGTTAGTATGGCTTGTCGCCTTTGTCGCTTACCTGCAGCTCCGTCTGGTATTCCACCTAGTCCCATCTGAATAGGAAGCAAAGGGTTACGAATTAGAGGGGAAGGAGGAGAGGCGGGGGAGTTTTGGGAGAGGGATAGAGAAAGAACGATATCAGCAAGCGATGTACAGGGAAAGCAGACTCACCGGCGGCTCGAGCCTGTTGGAGAGGTGCATCTTGGGGAAGTGGCAGTCGGCTAGGCGGAGGAAGGCTCCCAGGAAGGCCGCGCCCAGGAACACTCGAACGGCGGGCGACATCATCTGGCGGCCAGAAAGAACACGGGTGCTTAAGGGAAGGAAGGCCTTTCATCGCGTTCTCACATAAATCCTCAAACTACCCGAGCCTCGTCCATCAGAGGAGGTGCTGCTGAAACGTTGAGAAAATCACGAGTCGGGCCTCTGCCATTATGGCAGTGCTCCAGCACCAAAGAAGAAGACGCACGGCGGGGACCTTGAACTCGAGGGGTTCGGGTCGTGCGAGCTGCGACGCCGGGCCGACGACGCCCCGGCTGACGCAAGCGAACAGTGCGTACAATGCGGTGTGCTCGAAGCCCTGCTGTAGCAGCGCGGCACCCGGGCGCGCGTCGGCCCTTGAAGCCCCGGGCGCGGGTGCGGGGCCGGGCCTCGGGCCGGGCGCCTGGCGGAGCGTGGGTAGGCCGCGGCACGCACGCCTGTCCGCCGCGTGGCCTACCCTCCGATCCGCAGGCTGAGTCCCGGTGGCGGCGGCCGCTGCTCCGCGCGCTCTGCTGCTGGGAGGGGAGGATGCGGCGTGGTGCGAGTTTCTTGGGGGCCGCCTTGTGGCCCGCCGGCCTGCTGACACGTCGGAGACGCCCTTGCACCGACCTTGTGTGGCGGAGAGGGCGAGGTACAATTGATGCCATGCGACGAGACTACTGAAGGGGATGGCGCCTATGGCTCCGCCCCCGCCCCACCACTGCGCGTGTGGCGTCGTGTGCTTCGCGTTATCGTTGCAGGAAAGAGAACTGCTACCGCTTTGCTCTCGGGTCGGGGAAAGAAGTGGCCAAAGTGCCTTGCGTCCGTTTCCCCGAAGCAGTGTGGTGGTGTGCTGGTCGGGGCGAGGGGAAAAGGGGGGG